AATTAATATAATAATATAATAACACATATAATAATGTAATAAAACGAAATCATTCGGCGTTTGAGTAAATCAAGAAGCAGGATTATTTAAAAAAAATCTTTAACTTCTTGATCTAATTTAATATCTAGTGCAATCAAGTGCTTTTTGAAATTTATAATTATATGAGTGGATCTGATGAACCTCAAAAGCGAGTTGAATAAATTGGCCATTGTGTTCAAGCAAGAATTTTTTCTAGTGATAATTGCGCATATCCTTGTTGCGTGCTTCAAGAGCTTTTTCAAATATAACTTCAATTGGCAGGAACACTGCTTTTATAATATCGATCCCGTGCACAAGGATTTTATGAAGTGACGTATAAGTAGATAAAGCCGTTCAACCCTTCAGCATTAGAATTTTCAAAATATGACAGTATTGCTTGGCAGTAAAGTTGTAAAGTTTTTTATTAACTGAAAAATGCTTCTCTTCCGTATAATTTTTATTCCCGATTATCTTTGTGAAAACATAGGTTTTAAGGGCTTCAACTTTGTTTGTTTGCTGTGATTATCTGCCTCATATCGCAAAAAGCGATTTTATTGATGTAGACATTATACCTATAAAATAATCTATGCATATGAATGGCAAGTATTGGCAGTTCAGTCCAGTTTGACACTGGTCGATTCACAACAGACCATTTTAAAATAAAAATAAGTTTCTGGGCGAATACTTGCGAATATTAAAAGTTATAGTCTACGAAAGTTGAAGTATGTTGAAGTGTTAAGTTAAACGGCATAATACGCACAAGAACATACGTTTTACATCAAATGCATACCAACTATGTGGATTTGCAGTACTTGCTTCCCCTAAATTATACAATAATTAACTATTCACAGGTCCAATTAGTTTTTCCAAAAAAGGCCCGAATAGTAGTGAAAGAGATGTGCAAAAAAAATATATCAACTTAATGTGCTCATAACTTTGAAAAATCTTTAAAAATAAATTTTAGTGATGTAGGGATGTTTTATATCCATTCCATATTTAAAATAAGTAAAATTTTAGAATTCATTAGTGGACATCGCCCACTAAGGGAAGGAGTGATTTGGCGGTAGGGTGGAAATTCTATCAAATATACTGAAAGTTTTGATTATAGCTCTAAAGATTGAGAATATTTAGATTTAGATTTAGATTTTATATTTATAACTATTTATAATTTTCGATACGGTTTTTAATCTATAACAAAATAAATGGAAGAGTTATCGATTTTTTTAAACAAACTCCATTTGAGTGTTTTATATAAGTCTAGCTCTTATATCTTCTAAAATCGACCCGTTCACACATACGGCCCGACAGGCGGGAATGATCGAAATAAATAAATTTAAGTCTAAGATCTCCTGAAGTCTTCCAGGAACTGATTTTGCAAAAATTTTAAGCTCCTTTTCTGATTACACAAGAAACAAACAGATCCACACATACGCTGCGCTTCTCTTGTAGAATGACAATCTTGATCAATTTTCTGAGCGTGGTAATAAAGTCTGTGAATTGAAATACGCTTTTTGCAACCACTGAAGGGATAGGGATTTATTTAAACAACATTTTACTTTGAATTTAAGCGTTTTAATTGATGTTTGTAGTCTAAATCTTTTACAGCAGAAGTCGACACGCTTATAAATACAGACAAAGGAAACTAAATCGACTCAGATCAATAATAAATAGACTATGGGGTCATACCTATCATAGATTTTGATAACACTTTATATATAAAGAAAATGAAAACATAAAGTTTAGCGTTATATCATGTCCTAATTATTTATATTGTTTTCCGAATTTTTATTATTATTTATGTGAAGTTGTAGCTTATTACCTTAATAATATGAGAGATAGACGTGACCTGGGCATAGTGTAAGGAATGATCCATACGTTCTGATAACCAAGTGGAGAGCATATTTACTTGCTGATAATACCATTCCTCAAAGAAGTTTAATGTCCATAGGTCATCGCCGATTTTACCACGTATTTGATCCATATTATTTCGAAAAAAATTCACATATCCTTGTCCGAGATCCTTGCCAGAGCTCGAGACATTGGTAAAACTAAGAATTGATCCAATGAGACTGCCCTCATCGTAACGCCCTAACTTCGACAAAGTCGACTCCAGCACTGACATAAGTTTTCCACTTAAACCTTGTGTCATGGCTACATTCGCTTTGTCGATTTGTTCATCGATTCTTGCATGGAATTTGTACTAAAAGATGTAATAATAATAATTATAATATTGTGTGTATTTCTGTGTGTGTGTGTGTGTGTGTGTGTGTGTGTGTGTGTGTGTGTGTGTGTGTGTGTGTGTGTGTGTGTGTGTGTGTGTGGGTGTGTGTGTGTGTGTGTGTGTGTGTGTGATTGTATGCCTGTGTGTGATTGTATGCCTGTGTGTGCGCGCTTATCTTACTTACCAGATCGATACCGTCAATTGTAGTTAATTTAAAGCTTTGATTTTTAGCATCTAATATCACATTTACCATAGCGCACATCTCTGCAGGTATTATATAATCGGTCGATATAAAGGCAATATTTTTCTTTAACCACGACTGAAACGACGAATCCGTTCGCTGTATACACTGTTCAATCATATCCACGGCCATCATCTTAAGTCGCTGCTCCAAATGCTGTCGGAACTCGGCGTCTGGCCAATGCAGATCTCTAATAAAAGATTGCAATGCGTCCAATTTCCAGAATAAATCTTCCGATGTTGCACAACCATTTCTGTGCAATCAAATAAGTAAATCATTGATGAGACGTTAATACATTAATATTATGCCAGTAGATATTTGGTAAGTGTAAATGTATTTTGCAATATATATGCAATACATCAATTTATTATATATATTATTAGAGGGATCTGCGCTACAGTACTTTGCTGATATTCAGGTAATTTGTACTTGATCTGGTAGTAGGTAACCAACCGATTCCATAGTTAATGAACTCAATTTTAGTAACCAATTTAATATTATAATCTTGATTTCATAGACGAAATATTATGAAATATTTTGAAAAAAAAAACATTAGGTCAAATGTGCACATATTTTAGATATACATATCCCTGATATCCTAATTTGAAAATATTTTTTTTTAAATGCTCACTACTATCCGAACGTATAACTCTTATAATAATATAATATAACTAAAAATATTGGCAAGTAACTTCAATTACAAGCAAGCAAATGCAACTACAAAAATTTGAATAGGGATGCTTAATCTACATTGCTAATGCTAATGAAAAGGTGTTATATTGGCATAGTAATTAACTAATTGATTGAAGATAATTACGGTAATAAGCGCACGCATAATGAGAGTTACATATGAAGAGCTTAGCGAAAGTATATATTGTTGAGTTATTCCAAATATATTTGATCTTATATTCAACTTTAATTTTAATTATGAGTTCAATATTAATAATGAGCAGATTTCTTTAAAAATCTACATACAAATAAGATTTTTCGAGACATGACCGATGTCTATCAACTATCTGATAATTTAATATATTTTGATTTGTCAACTCTGTGATTTTATTTAAATACTTTAACTCTAACTCTTTAACTCTAACACTCTATAGCACATTCAGTGGTGCCCACCCCAAATTACAGATGAAAAACACTTTTTAGACAATTACTAAAAACAAAATAATGTCACAGAAATATGATTGATCGCATTGGTAAATAAAAAAATACGATTTGTATCGTAAACACGTTGTTACGGAGCTACTAAAGTTTTAAACTGTTGGATATTGCAATTTATTGTAATGTAGCTGCGTTGGCATCGTTTAAGAGTGCTGTGCAGGTAGTAGCATTCGACAGCACCGTTCTTATTTGTTTGTTGGGAAAAAACGCTCATTATTATATTAAGACTATACAGTTGACTCTCGTTATTTCGAAATTCAAGGGACTCTTAAAATATTTCGAATTGTCGAGTGTTTAACCATATGAGTACGAATTACCGCGTCTTAGCAATGATTCTTATTTCGAAATACTGAGTGATAACTTTGAATTAATGAGAGGTTCGAAATAACTCAGGTTTGAAATAACAAGAGTCGACTGTATATAAATATTTCTATATACATATATTAATTTATATATGTATATATAACACTAGGGCTCATTGAGGTGATTGAGTTGTGAAATTAGGCAGTAATTATGCATTGCATTCTTATTATTGGTAATTTTCTAGTTTTGTTAGCATACATATTATGTATATACAAAATGTACATTAATCATCATTGTCATGTATTGTCGGATTTTACTAGTGAGAAATGAATTAATATATGAATTATGCTAAATCTAAGTCGTGTTCTAGTTAAATCAATTCTTGAAGCAGCAACAAACACAACAAAATGCAAAGTGAACATATTTTGGAGTATCTTAGATGGAGGCATTAATAGTAAAAACCTCGTTTCGTCAACACCACCCGCTGCAGCCGCAGCAGCTGTGCATTTCGGTAGCTTCGGTACATAAAAATTGATTTGATCTTTCTTGCCGCTCAGCAGGGCCGCAGGATTAAGAGCAGCCGTGTTTAAAGCCTGGGCGGCATTATTTAATGCAGCTGGATTCAAGGCGGCGTTAATCCTAAATTTTCAGCACAAATATGAAAATAAAAGAAATGAACGGCACACGTTTCAATAGCTAAGTAATGATTGAAGGCGAAAAGATGATGAGAGAGGCAGAGAGAGAGAGAGACTGATGAACGAACAGAGATAAGCAGAACATGAGAGAGACAGAGAGAGGGAGTATAGAGCAAGGGATAGTACAGAGAGAGTGAGTGTATAGAGAAGAGATCGAGAGAGAGGGTGAGGCTGCAATGCTCGCAATGCCAAATTATCATTTTTTATTGTCATAATAATGACGCCTGTCAATCTCATAATTATCGATCATGACTTAGTATACTAATAATAAATAGATAGATAGTTTGAAGTCAGGAAGATAAATGTGTATACCAAATATACATACATTAAGTATATAAATATAAAACA